CGGGAATGCAGCTTTTAGACCTCTCTCTCTCTCTCTCTCTCTCTCTCTCTCTCTCTCTCTCTCTCTCTCTCTGGCTCCCTCTCTCCCTCTTTCATTCCTGAGAATGGGTCCCAGAGTAAGTGCACTACCACTGACCTGTTAAGTCATTTTTGAAGCTACTCTAAGCTGGATTCCAACATCTGTCAAAACTAATATGAGAAAGGAGCATCATAGATGCAAAAATATTAAATTAAATATTAATGAATTGATCTATGTACTAAGAAAGAGAATGACGGTGTGTGCCTGTAGTCCCGACTAGGCAGGAGGCTGACGTAGGCGGATTGCTTGATCCCGGGGGTTAGAGTTCATTCACTTGTGAACGAATGTAGGAAGAAATGGAGGCAGGCAGTCTTCCATCCTTTGATTCCTCTATGGAAACATTAAAAAAAAAAAAAAAAAAAAAAACATTAAAAAAGCAAAACCCAAATTGAATGAACTGAAAGTCAAAGGTTTACAGTAACCAAGCAAATGCCCAGTTAAAAGAGAAGGCACATTCAAAAGCATAGGAAATTTGCCTGGGCTATAGCTCAGAGGCACAGAACCGGCCTGGCAAGCTGAAGCTAAAGGAAGGTTGTTTGCAGTTCCATGCCTTAAACAGCAGGCGGCAGAGTAAACCTTATTGATCATGTTCTATCCAGTCTAGGGACTGACTGGTAAAGGACTGGTTTCTTTGTAAACTAATTAGTATCTCAGATGAAACAGACCCGCATGAGGGACAAAGGGACTGTCATTGCTTGTGAAGCTGCAGGGAAACTGAATCCACACATGCCAGGTTAAGAGAAAGTGGGGGAAGTATTAAGACATTCCAAAGCAGCCAAGTATTAGGAGGAATTAAGAAAGTTACATACAGCATAGGCAGGATGAATGCTCAGAAAACCCTGACAAGACCTTACGCTTTCACCATGGGCTGATCCCTGGAATCAGAGTATATGTAGAAAATCAGTATAGGACTGTCTTGTCTTAGAGCTGGCTGTTTCTTTAAATGTCCAGTTTTCAACAAAATCTGACAAGGCATAAAAAACAAGAAAATATGGCTCATACAAAAGAAGAAAGAAAACTGGCAGAAACTGTGTCTGAGAAAAGCAAGATCCTGGAAATATTAAACAAAGATTTTAAAATAAGTGTTTTGACATCCATATACAGGAGAACAAAGTTAGACTGTTTCTCATACCAAGTATGCAAGTCAACTCAAATTAGATTAAATTTTTAAATGTAAGGCCAGAAACTCAAAATTAGGATAAAGCATCACTGATATGGGTGGAGAGTCCTGTTTTTCTTTCTTTCTTTTTTTTTTTTTTTTGTATACTGGGACTCAAACTCAGGCCCTCACGCTTGACAGGCAGGTTCTGGGCCACTGAGCTAAACCCCCACCCGCCAAATGACATTGATTCAGGCAATAAGTTCTTTAATATGAACCAAAAGCACAAGATACAAGGAAATAGATAAATCGGATTATGCAGATTAAAACAGCACTGCACATCAAAGGAAACAATCTCAAGTATGGGAAAAAAAATATAGAATGGGAGAAAAGCTTTACAAATCACAATCTGGTAAGGGATTTGTGGTGTACAGGCAGCTGGTGGTCAACTTGTAATACCCAGCTGAACTGAGCCTGCATGGTGCTGGTATGGGAGACCCATCTGAGGATTCCTGCAGGCAGCATAAGAGGCAGAACTAGAGAGGAAGTTTGTAAGCTGTTGGGAAGCTGTAGGGAGCTGTTGCTTTTCCTGGAGTAGCTTGTCATGCTGGCTTTCCTGATGAACTCAGCTATTTTTATCACTGAAGGAGCTTGGGACCTTACTGTCACTGAGAATGGCTAGCGTTCATTTTGGGGGAGCTCTGGTCCTCACTTTAAGCATCACTTCCTGGCTCCGGAGGGGAAGATGGTGCACTGCTCACTCCCCTGGAGATGCTTGTCGAGCTGGCTTTCCTGATGGGAACTTGGCTGTTCTCATCATCGCAGGAGCTCAGAACCTCATTGTTGCTGAGGATGGCTGTGGTACCTTTCAGGAGCGTGCTCTGGTTCTCTTTGAGTGTCACTTTCTGGTTCTAGTGCAGATTCCTCAGCCTGCTAACACAGATCCTTCATCCACTGGCACAGACCCTGTAGCTTCCACCACTGACCTTGGGGCCTTCCCAGAGCAGATCCGTGAAACAGGCCTGCATGAGGCATTGTCATGGGCTGTAGGCCATTAGTTGGACTTGTAGGGGTCTTGGTATGGGCTCTAGGTCTTCAGCTGTACTCATGCAGGTCAATACCATGGAATCCAGGACTTCAGCTGGATTCTTTGGTCTTTAGTGTGTGGACAGATTTCCTGCACTTTTTGTATATGACTCTTTGGGTGAGTATTATAAAATAATCTTAGAACTAAGTGCCCTGTGTTGTATTGTTTCTCCTGCAAAACCCAAAACTACAACAAAATTGCTACCAGAGGAGTGCAGTAATTGTTGTAATGTTGCCTGGCCCTGTGTGTTAACAGCCTTTGGAATTAATTTGGAAAAGTTTTGAGAGACTGGCCAAAGAGGCAGCCCCTATAGGCTGTAAATTATGCTGGAGACTCTGGTCAGAGCCTGGAAAATCAGAGTACTGATGGAAATGCTTGCAGTTAAGGTGAAGCTCAGGAGGTTTCAATTGAGAGGAACTGCATTGGCTGCTGGATCCCAGGTAGTGCATTGTGCTTTGGCAGAAACTTGGTCTGCATTTCGCTTGTGTTTAGAGATACTGCCTGGGTGGTAAAAGAAAAATCTCAATGCAGTCTACTGTTGGGAAGGTGGCGTGGTTATTGTTGAGAGCTTTTGACCAGATCTATGTTTGAAATTAAGAGCAAAGAGCCAGCAAGGTGATATGAAACAGTTAGCCAGAGAGGATGCTCTGGTAGAACTTTGGGTTGCAAGGATGAAATAGAGGAGAATGCTTTTGTTAAGAACAGAACAACAGAAAAGTAAATGGAAGCCTTTCACCTAAAGGTAAGAGTGTATTTCAATTGCAGAAGATCCCTAAGTTTTAGTCCTGCCATGCGTTGTAAAAATTAATGGGAAGCAAGGAGTGTGATTATAATAGTTATTTTTATGTTCTTTTTTGTAATTCAGAAGCATGTGTTCATTCAGTGTGTGAGCACTTAAAAAGGAGTATATAATTTTGTTCAGGTCCAAGTCATATGTGAATAACAAAGCTGTGTATACTTTGTGCCAGTGGTGACAGTAACTTTATTCTTTACAATAGATAAATAAAATAGGTCAACATTTAAAAGCATCATATTCTAATGGCATTTTTAGATATATGTTTGTAATCAGGTTAATTAATGAAAGTATTGTGTTTTAACTTTGAATTTTGGTTACCCTGTAAATATTCTGCTTTTGGTATGAGAATGAGTGCAAAAAAATTGTACATATGTAATTGTTATATTGATGTAAATCTGGATAGATCAAGACATGTTAACTTTTCACAAATTTGCCACTAGAGACAATGGATTAAGGAAATGTGTATGGTTATCAAGTTGACGGGGTGAATTGTGGTGCCTTGACAAGTGGTGGTCAACTTGTTGCCAGCAGCATAAGAGGCAGAACTGGAGAGGAAGACGTTTGTACGCTGTAGGGAAGCTGTAGGGAGCTATTGGTTTTCCTGGAGGAGCTTGTCATGCTGGCTTTCCTGATGAACTCAGCTATTCTTATCATTGAAGGAGCTCAGGGTCTTACTGTCACTGAGAATGGCAACAGTTCACTTTGGGAGAGTGTGCTGATTTGGGGATATTTTTGCAAGGGTGAGCAATATAATACAGGACACATATTTTATATGATTATTTATAATAGTCACCCAAAGAATGATATA